ATGTTTAAATGTAAGCAACTAGTTGTTAAACACTATATGGACCAAACTCTGGCCTACAAAGGATTTCTACTGAGGCAGCATTTTTACAAAATAGCCTAAAAGATTTAAAAGGTATTTCCTTCCTCTTATTTCCCTTCGAGCACTAATAAACCCAGAAATTACATCTATGAAGTGACTTTCCCAGGGGTCTTAGTATTAAAGAAGTTCTGCGTAAAGTTGTTTTCAAAAAGAAGCTCTTTACTTTCACCAGTACAGACAGAGGGACTCCGGGACAAAGCAGGCAGGCAACCTCTCTTCCTTACTCCTGTCTCTGCCTCCCTGAATCTACCCCTTTCCTCCTCCCCATTTCCCTCCTAACCCTCATCTCCTAACTCCAAAGAACTGAATCCACCTGTAAGAGGTTGATGCCCAGAGCCAAATAATTAGGCTGCTACTGCTCTTCCTTTCACCTGTCTGAAGAAACAAATTCGGTATCTGCTAACAAGGCTGCCAAGACAACCTGCCCCCAGTTCACCAGTCTCACCTACAATAAGGGCAAACGAGGATCTCAAAGGGATTTCTGGAGCACCTCATTGGGCAAATCTCCCTATTACAAATAAGCATCCAACTATGCTTGACTGCTTTAGGCAGGAAAAAAAGCTGGAAAGATAATTTCAAAACTCTGAGATCAAGGCCATACAACTCTAGAGAGTAACTGTTTCCAGAGAGTCTCATCACTACCTCCATTTGTGATGTGACATTTCGCTGTTGGCTCTGCACCCTTTGAGGGGTTAGGGACCGAGATCTGATTAATGCAGTGGGCTCTCTCCCCAGAAAAACAACATTCACACAAATTTGCAGGCAAATTCATGGATCCCTTGCAGCTGGGCCATTCACCCCCGATTATCAATCCTTGCTAGAACACATTTACTTCTCCGAAGGAAATGAAAGACTTGAAGTCATGATTTTGAGGACCTGACAGCATGATTTGGAGGATAACAACATTAGGAAAGTGTAAAGTTAAGTTCGCTTTCTTTCTTTTCCCTTCTCTCCCTTGAGGCCTGCAGGAGTCTCAAAACTGCACACCCTGCATGACGTTTAAAAAGTGACAATCTCACCTTTGAATTTAAAGAACCTTAATATTTAATTTTTCCTCTCTGTGATTATAGCTTGCTTTTTCCACATTATCAAGTTGATGACTTTAGAAAGCAGGCTATTGGAGATCCAGAAACCATATATCGCAATCCAGTGCCCTTGTAGAAATCAAAGCGCTCACTCAGGAAGAGCTGAAAGAGGCTGAGGGGTCACTGCCTGCCCCCAGGGTGCTGGCACAGACAGAACTTCAGAGCAGTAATGTAAATACGCAGTATGAGGCAACAGGGCATACCAATTTGTTTTTCAATCTATTTTATTTCAGTTCAAAGCCTCGCTGCAGACAGGCAGTCCAAGAAAATAAGCCACATTTTAGTTACACTCAGTCTTCCTCAATCTCCTAAAGCAGCTGAGCGTTGTCCGAGAGTGGCTCTTTTTTCTGCGCTGCCTGTCTGCAAGGATGCTTTGAACCGAAATAAAATAGATTGAAAAACCAATCAGTATGCCCCGGCTCTTCCTGCAGTTTTATATTACCCTTCAAAGCTTGTGTTACCACCTACTCTTTACTGGAACCCGACAGACCCAAATCACAGAGTGAAACTGCAATACTTTAAATGTGAAGGTCCCACCCAGCCCTAAAATAGCCATTTAATTCAGGGCTTGTTGTTTAACATTGCATTAACATGCCACTCTCTGTCCGGCTCCGTGCTCCATTTGCCGGGCTGGATCATATCTTCTGATGACATGTGCCATCTGGCCACTGGAGACAGTTGAAAGCAAACCTTGACGTTGCCCCATTTATCACTGCCTCGGTAATTTTCCATGTTCATGGCCCAAACATCATATAACATTTACCTATTTAAAAAGTCCCCTACTTGCTTTAAACAGGGCATTGAAAATAATGCAACATTGTTTTGAAAACTTTTAGAGGAAACCCAAGTCATTTGCAAACAAATTTTGAAATGACCTCCAACTAGAGTCTGAAGCCTATCATTTTGTTAGCATGCCTCTTTCATGTGTGCAATGGAGGAACAAACCGTTTCGAGCTTAAAACGCCAAAATGATGAAAAATGCTCTAAATAGACATTTGTATAATTAGGTTGAAAAAATTTACATCCCAGTTGGATAAGTTCAACTCTTAAGAGAAACGTTAAGAAAAAATACGATTTGTCCCTCTTCCTTGGGAAGACAGAAACACATACACACACCCCATCAATTTTGTCTATAATATTCTTCTGGATTTTTGTAATCATTTACCATTTTACATAAGTTTCCTTTTGGGGCCAAATATCATTAGTTTCCTCTGATTGGGATTTGCAACATATATAACAGCAAGAAGACTCGGAACCTATTTTTACATGTTCTCTAACGTAGTCCACACAATAACCTTTAAGGAGGTACCATTATCCACATTTGGCAGATCAGACAACCAATCTGTAACTGGGCCGCTGGCATGCAGCTCCATCAGCAACAAAGCTATGCTCAGGGCCAGGGCTCCGGACAGGACTGAGAACCACAGCACAATCACTCATTTCTTTCCGTTCCACAGCACCCCAAGTTCTTGTCATCTCACAGGCTCTAAACCTGCTAAAAAGTCCTGCCTTCCCACTTCTCTCCCTTTTCCCTCCTTGCTGGGCTGGATCCTTGTCACTCAACAAGTTTCAGCTTAAACTTTTCCATGAACCTCTCAGGGTAGCACTGCTTTGTTTCCTTTATTAGTTGCCACGATTTGGAATAACTATTATTTCTTCACTGTCTCAGACACTGTTTTAGGTCCATCTTGCTTACTATGGTATTCACAGGGTCTAGCACAATGGTGTCTGGCACAAAGCAGGCACTCAAATGTTTGCTCAGTGAACAGCCTGGACTTGTTTATTTAATATTTATCAGATGACTGGCTGTGGGCACTGACTAGCAGCTGATACAAAAGACTGCCCTTGAGGACCTCCCACATCGGTAGAAAAGACAAACAGATGGACTAACACAGTGTGATCAGTTCAGGTTCAGATCCCAGCTCCCCTATGCATTAGCTAGGTAACCTTGTAAAATCTCTCTGAGTCTCAGTGCGTTCATCTTTAAAATGGTAGTATTAATACTACCTATGTCATAATGGTGTGAAGATTAAAAGATAACCCATGCAAATCAAGCACTTAGTGTAAAATGAACTCAAAGAGCTCTGGGCAACACAGGGATTAATAAATATTAACTGCTCATTTGTTATGATGATGCTCTGACAGCTGTATTTGAAATTATCTTTGTTTACTTGTGTACCATTTGTCCAAGCCCCTATATAATTTAAAATCTGTGTAAGGACAAAGTTCACATTGGTCCTTCACTGTTGGATCATCCTACTACATAGTAGGTGGTCAACAAATACTGAATGATTTATGAATGCATGCATGCAAACATAATATTCTGAAACCATTTGTTAAATTAGTGATGAATATGCCAGGGTGTGGAATGTGCAGGAGGCAGGAGATTAATGATTCTCTCTCATCATTGATGTGTGTCTCTCTCTTTCCCTCTCCCTTCCTCTCTGAAATTAATAAAAAATATAGCAAATAAATAAATTAGTGATGATTAGCTAGGTTTGGGAACTACTGCCTTATACGAAAGGCATCTAAACGAGAAAGTGGAGTGTGGCAAAAGTTTGAAGATTTTAGCCAAGTAGGTATTTCACTTTGGGGTTGTAATTAAACCTATATAAACCACACAAAAGACTTGGGTACAATTCCAAAGAAGAACCAATAGCCCCAGATTGAGAGAGTTGAAAGAATAAATTGAGCATATGGCATGGGTCACCAGGCAGGGGGCTTCCAGGCATGACCTATACAATCTGTGATCTGGGACCCCCTTAAACCACTCAACCTAAGATTCCTCCTCTTAAGGAGAAACATGGACACTTGCTTATAAAGTGTTGTTAGCACAAAAATGCTGTGTATGAATGTACATAAACCACCTCTGACTTCTGGTAGGAGCTGGGTGGATGGTGTCATTGTTATTTAAAGTAGGGGAAACAATTCCCACTTTGACTAATACATCATTAAGACCAGAAGAGATAACGGAAGTCCTAGTGTTTTGTCAAACAGCTCTCTTGCAAGGGAGTGCAAGGGACGGTGTACCCAGTTTCCCGTTAGGTGTGAAGTGACCGGAGAAATCGCTGGACAACATCGACCCAGACTATGTGTGTCTAGGGTAGGGGTCGGCCCCCTTTCTGTGAGGGGCCAGCCAGCCAGATATTGTCCGCTTTGTGGGCCAAGCGATCGATGTCACGCTACGCAGGACTCTCCCAGCTCCGCTCCCGCAGCAGGAAAGCCGCCACAGACAACACATAAACAATGAACATGGCTGTGTTCCAACGAGACTCCCTTTATGGACTCCGAAATCTGATTTCATATAACTGTCACAATTCACATGAAATATTCTCTTACCTCCCCCCCCACACTCCCCGCAACTCAACCATTAAAAAATGTAAAAATGTAAAATCCATTTCAGTTTGGGAGGGGGGGCATTGGGGGGCGGATTTGGCCCTAGGCCAGATGGCCCGTGCCTGGCGAGGGGACTCGGCGGGGGAGGGGGAGGGAGGACCGAGAAGATCGGCAGCCGCACCGCGAGGCCGAATCCGCCGAGGAGCAGGGTGCGGGGTGCGGGGTGCGGGGCCGGCCGGGGGAGACAGGGCCCCCGCGGCCGGGAGGGCCCAGCCGGCACCCGCCGCCTTCCTCCGCCGGAGATTAGAGCCGAGCCTGCGCCCGGGTGTGGGCGGCTCCCGGAGGTCCGGGGACAAGGGGCGGCTGGGACGGAGCAGAGCCCGCGGAGTTCGACACGTAGGAGGGTCTCCGTCCCTGTGATCCCCTCATTCGGGGCGTCTCTCCAGCCTCGGCTACCGAAGGGGTCTCCACGCTGAGTCCTAGCCCCGTTTCTATGGTTACCTGTTCAGCACCGATTCAAACTGCCGTTCTTTATTGACAGCGCCATAGAGGACACGAACACTCCTGCCCGAAGGGAACAATAAAGATTTCTCCATTCAACAGCGCCGGAGACGCCGCAAGGCGGCCATCTTGAGGCTGGCGAGGAAGGGCTACCAGCGGGGCGGGGGAGGCCCAGCCTGCCTCACGCGCCGCTGCGGTCACGTGCTGGGGGCGTGCCCCGGGGCGGGGCCTGCGTCGCTCAAGCGCTCTCCACCAATGGAAGGCCGAGTGCTGGCCCGGCCGCTCGCCTTCGCTCCTCCCCCCCACGCTTCTAGGAAAGTTCTAACCGGGTTCCACCGTCCCTCGCTGACGCAGCCCTGGGGTTAGGATCCTATTTCAAAAAATGGTGGGGAGGTGTACACAAAAGATCTCTCTCCGTTTTCCCAAAACATTATGTTCACGTGCAAGGCGGGGACGGGACCTGGGGCTGGTCCCCGAGCGTATTCTCATTGGTGGAGAGGCTTGACACCGCTCAAACGTGATTGGCTAACAGGCCCGTATCAACCAATCGTGGTGTCTTGAAGGTATTTTTTTTTTTTTTTATTCCGCCTCTCCTCCCAATTTAGTATTTAAGGTTTGGGAGAAAACGTGTTTATGGCAGTCTGTTTGCTAAATTCCCGTACCCGCACTTTGTCACACACTATACGTTAAGGTGACCAGACGTCCCGCTTCTGGCGGGATACTCCCGATTTTTAACAATTTGTCCCGCATCCCGCGGCGTTTTAAAAAAAGTCCCGATTTTTGGAAAGCGGGACGTCTGGTCACCTTACTATAAGTCCCACGTTGGCGCTCCCCTTACCGGCTGGCCTCACCCAGCCCAGCAGATGAAGCAGATGCAGACAGCCTCAGGCCCATCAAGCCGGGTCAGCGCCGCCCCTTCCCTTCCCCCCCCCCCTCCCCCCCCCGCGCTGCACACCATCACTCTGACCCTCAGCCACCTTTCCAGTCCCTGCCAGTCATGCTGCCCAAATCCATTGTCTCCGCGCCAGGCCAAGCTCCCTGCGTGCTGCAGCTGCTGCCTCCACAGTGTGAGCATTCAGTCATGGCCACACTGACTCCCACTCCATCACCGTTCTTAGCCACAAGTTCAATCCACGGGGCAGAACTGTCACCTGCATTGTTGCTGTCGGTGGCCCCTCATTTCTGCCGTCACTGTCTGAGATGCAAACACTGTGGTCAATGACCACCAGTGTCAGACTGTTCTGTACAGCGTAGCGCCTGGACTACGTGCCCAGCGGCCACCCTTTCAGTTGTCTTCACTGTCCCTGGCCCTCGCCTACTTTCATGGCCACACAGTCAAGCCGATAGTTAGCAAGCTCCCACCAGGCACGCAGCTGTCCTTGTGACTTTCCAGTCACTTTCACTGTTACACTCACACATCACTGTCCCGTTCAGCGTCAGATTTAATGTAGCTGACACTCGGTCATTTTTGTAGTCACTCAGCCACAACACAGCTGTTATATCTCCTAAGCATGTATTTCCACTATCGTTGCATTCTCCTTTAGTAAGAAGCCTCGGTACAGGGTTGCCAGATTTAGGAAACAAACACCTACAATGTTTCTTGGCACATAGTAGGTGCTCAAGAAATACTTGCCGAATGAATAGATTTAAAAAACAAACACACAAACAACAACACTGTGTTATTTCAATGTACTGTATGTGAATGTGGATGACTTGAGGCTTATCAGTCACAAACAACAGGAGTAACTTTTCGGGTACAATCTGTCCTCCCTTGTCCACTTACCCCAACTCTGCATCCTATCAGGACTTGAGGAGAAAGTGGGAGGAATGTGGCCACTATGCCTAAACTGAAATCCTAGGACCGTGTTTGCAAAGTGTAGGGCTGTTGTTGTTTTTTAAAGTTTTTATTTCATATTCTAAAACAAAAATACATTTGCTATGGAGCATTTGGAAACATTGGAAGGAGTCTCCCCTTCTGAAGGGTTGTTTTAGACATAAAGAATGCCATCCCTGCCCTTGCTGGTTTGGCTCAGTGAATAGAGTGTTGACTTGGGGACCAAAGGGTCCTGGGTTTGATTCCAGTCAAAGGCATGTACCTTGGTTGCAGGCTCCTCCCCAGCCTGGGCCCTGGTTGGGGCATGTGCCGGAGGCAACCAATCGATGTGTTTCTCTCCCATCAATGTTTCTCTCGGTCTTTCTATCTTCCACTTTCTCCAAAAGATCAATGGAAAAATATCCTCGGGTGAGGATTAACAACAACAACAACAAAAGAATACCATCCATCAATGCACCCCACACATGCACACATAGTCAATAGGTCAACGGCTGCAGTTTCTCCATAATTGTTTACTTGTAGTTTTGCATTACCAGAAACTCCCCTGGGATGCCTGGACCACAGTGCATGAAGAACGGCATTGGGTCATGGAGAGCAGTAGCCCTGGGTTCTGGCTGGCCGTCAGATGGGAGAAGAAGGAAACATTGGCTGGACCCTCTTGGGAGATCTTCAAGGTTTTTAGAGAAATAACGACTGCTTCTAACTAATCGCCAGAAGGACCCAATCCTTGACCTTGAGGGGGAAGGTACTTGTGGACTTTTCACCCTTTTTTCCACCTTAAGAGAAAATGTTCCCAAGACAGTGGCTGAGGTGGCTCCAACTAACCCACCATTTCTGAAGTGACTATTACATGCCAAGAATACCGGGGAGAACAGGACATGGTCCCTGCCCTGGTAAAAGGTAACACAGCCACTACCACGTCTACAGCTACTAACAAGTCATCACCGATCCCACTTTACTCTCCACCAGGCACCATGCCAAGATCTTTACCTAGATTATCTCATCTAATGCTCATAACCACCCTATGAGGTGGGTCACACATCACACTCTTATCCCCTTCTATGCAGGAGGAATCTGACTCAGAGAAAGAAAATAATTTGCTCTAGGTAGCACAGCTACTGAGCAGTGGAATTGGGGTTTAAAACTAGGAAGTTTGACTCTAGAGCCAAATATATATATATATATATATATATATATAACCCCAGAATAATGACTTACAGTTTTTACAACATATATAGGTTCATTGTGAACAATTCCTGGATTATAAAAAAATAAAAATAAATAAATAAATAAATAAAAAATACACAAGAGAATTAAAAGCAGAATCACTATAAATCTTACCATTTAGCGGTGACATTACATTACAGGGGAGTATTTCTCCATCTCTGGGCAGTTATATGCAGGTAGATAGATGGACAAATAATGATAATAATGACAGTTTCCCCCCAGTGAGCACTGTGAGCTGGATGCTGTGCTGAGTGCTTTCCATGAATTAACACATTTACTTTACTCAGAAATGAATAGACAGAATTTTATTAAAATGAGTTCATTTAACAGATTCAGGGGTCACATCCGCAGCCAGCCACCTGGTGGTGTTTTCCCCAAATCTGGTTCTTTTCTTGGTCCTTGCTGTCTCCTCTCTGCCTCCCAATCCAACCTTAAGCCCAGCGTCCTTGGGCTGCAAAAGCCGAGTCTTTAAATAGCATCCTCGCACAGCTGCTGCCTGGTCAAATGTCTCTGCTGCTCCCCAAGGCGGTGTGTTATTTGTAGAAGTGAATTTTGCTAGAGGCTCAACATATGCTTTCTGTTTCTTAAGAGTAGGTATCTGGGCCTTGGCATTCTTTCCCCTGGCTTTCTTACGTGTTAGAATTTCACTCCCCTTTTCTCCAATCCATCTGAAGCTTGGTTTTTAGATCTTGCCCAGTGGAGACCAGAGAGTCTCCAAAGAGGATGCTGTTGGAATTTGCCAGATGACTCAGAAAGGTCAGCTGCCTGCTTATCCATCTGGGATGGCGAACGACAGAGAAGGAGGGAGATTGCCTCACTCCAAAGGGGCTGTCGGCCGATGAGAGTCTGGAGCACTTCAGTGCTTCTGGCTCTACCATTATCATATACTGTGAATGAAGCCCTTGCCTCAGTTTCCCCAGAGACAAAAGGCACTCCTGCATTTAGAATGATGGAATCCTGCCTCACCCCTCTGGCTCCTCAGCTCAGAGTCTAGCCCACCCACCACTCCCTGCCCCATTGCTCAGGTCAGACATTTTTGTTGCTCAACCAGTCACCAAGCTTGTTGATTTTGCCTCTAAATATACTCTCTCCGTATCCACAGGCAAAGTCCAAATGACCTTTACCTCTCATCTACTGGGATATCCTCCTGGTGCGGTCTCTGTTTCTATCCTTTACTTGGTTCTGTGCACAGCACACCAGCCCCATCTTACATTTCTTTTCTTTTTTCTTTTTCTTTTTAAAAATATATTTTATTGATTTTTTACAGAGAGGAAGGGAGAGATATAGAGAGCTAGAAACGTCGATGAGAGATGAACATCGACCAGCTGCCTCTTGCACACCCCCTACCCGGGATGTGCCCGCAACCAACGTACATGCCCTTGACCGGAATCGAACCTGGGACCTTTCAGTCCGCAGACCGATGCTCTACCACTGAGCCAAACCGGTTTTGGCCTGTCTTACATTTCTATTAGAACCAATTTTATAAATGTATTGGGTCGGCAACTAAGTAATTGCGGATTTTTAAAAAAATCAAAGACAATTTTTTCATGGAACTGAATAACTTTATTCTGTAATGTATTGCCCATTTTGATCAATGACCTTTTGCCATCTTTCAGGCAGCATCATAATCCCACGTTCAAAAAACTTCTGGTTTTTATTAGCAAAAAACTGAATCAGGTACGATTTGACATCATCATCATTATTGAAATTTTTACCATTCAAGGAGTTTTGTAAAGATCGAAACAAAAAGTAATCAGATAGTGCAAGGTCAGGACTATATGGTGGATGTGGCAAAACATCCCAACCAAGCTCCATTAATTTTTGCCGAGTGACCAAAGATGTGTGTGGCCTTGCATTGTCATGATGGAATACAACACCTTTTCGATTTGTCAATTCGGGCCGCTTTTCTTCAACTGCATTGTTTAATTTCGTTAGTTGTTCAATGTAGACATCAGAATTGATCGTTCGGTTGGGTGGTAAGAGTTCAAAGTAGACAATTCCTTTGTAATCCCACCAAACTGATAACAAAACCTTCTTTTGATGAATATCAGCTTTTGATGTTGTTTGAGTTGGTTCACCTGGCCTGCTCCACGATCTTTTCCG